AGGTTTTCCCACCATAACCACAACAAACAGAGCCCAGAGTATATTGTTCACGTATAGGCAATCTTAATACACAGGCAGCTCTATCAACATCTGGATGTGATAGCATTAATGAATGCAATTCGCTCATGCATATCACCATAATTGAGCTCGGCAGTGAATGAACATGATTTATGTAGTATACATTAACTGCTAACATAGATACACATGTATATATTCATGAACTACTATATATAATAGAGTAGTGGACGGCGCGGCCCACTATTATTAAGAAGCATAAGATAACACCCATTATGAATGTAATTGCAAGCAGAATTCACGAGTGAGAAGCGAGACTTAAGAGAAGTGTATAGATGCTTATCGTATCTTGTGCTACAATAAAACTTGAGCAATCTGAGTAAGAGGACAGACAGCACAAATCGACTCGACGAAGAAGAGCCTCTTAAGAATTGACCTGCGTAACTCTTCATGCTTTTAACTTCTTATTTCATCTGATTTAAACGCTACAGCCAGCGGCGGAATAGGAGACGCTTAATTAATAGATATTACCGTTATATTGTTATCGACCAGGTCGACACTTGGGCCTGCGGTTAACTTACTTTTATGTCCACTTCTATTTATAAAATATTAGCTAACAGCAAATTTATAAATTTTCAGAATTTTCAACTATAATCGTTAAAATAAGTTTGAAAGAATTATTAAATGTCAGAAATAGCAGAGCTAAAAATGCATTTAACATCAAAATATGAATTACCCATTTATTCAATCAGTAATTACTACAACCAATTATTATTACCTCTATTATAACTACGTAACGTTTTTTACGTGCATCAGTATACAGCAGTATTTGGTAACAGTATACATTTGTTCAACATGTTAAAGACGCCCTAGATGTATTGTGATGTTATTAAAACTCAGTATGTCGTATCATCACGAACGTCTCATTACTGGTCCGGTATAGGGTCAAGGAAGTCATGGTCTCTAAACGTCATAACATTTTCAAACAATCTAGCAAAGACACCCATGACAAATCCAAACGTTTCTGCCACGAGGTGCTCAATACCAGCAAAAGCAACAATCTCATCACAGTACGCATATGGGGTCCAACGAAGAGCAAACTCGTACGAGTGAGCATGGTGGGTCTTCTGACCACTGGCCATTCGATCGCGGTAGTCTGCTTCCGTCTCCTGGATCATCTCTTCCTCGCTAGGGAGCGCCAGCGAGCCATCGAGGATTTTGAACGCAAACGAAACCTGGATGTATGCGATCGAAAACTCGATGGGTGTATAAACCATGTCGATAAACATGAGCGTGTGGTACCTGCTGTGGATCATGTGCTTGAATAACGGTTGTATGCGTTTACCCTCGCTAACAGTGACATCACACGAGGCGTCGAGGAATGGGAACGAATACTCGTAGCCAGTGCAGAAAATAATCACGTCTGGTTCGAGCGTCTCACCGTCGGTGAACGTCACCACGCTACCGTTGATCGCCTGCGGGAATGGCGTTGTTCTCACGTTGTGTGGTAGCAGCCCTTTCTTGTACTGTTCTCTCACGCCAAATTGGTCCAGTGCGGTCAGTGAGATGACCACCTCGGACGCATGAGAGTGCAGATCGCCCATGATGTCAAATGCAGAGGTATAGGCTCCAATTACAAGCACTCGCTTATCTGTTTCGTAAAAATGGGACACTATGCTATTCCGGAACAGCAAACATTAAAGCGCAGTACTCTCATGTGAGTGCAACAACGTAGTTTAGCCTTGAGTTAAATAATCGCATTCGTTATTCACAGGATGAAACAGCAAGCCGTATCTATACTAATACAGACAGCGCACCTGTATAAGGTTCTGGATGGCGGTAAGAAGACTGTGTCTCCCGTGCTGTGATTTGGTTGCCTCTTTAGCCTGTTTCCCTGTGCCCAATGCGCAGGAGAAGGCAAAGAGAATCGATCTGGCACTGATCTGTCGCCATTGAGTAGCTCACTTGGCGAAAACCCTTCCGCTAAAGGTGTACGTCGGTACTGCATCAGGAATTGCTGCAGGGCACTTTGGTGGCCCAGGTCGACTTCCTGAGTCCTTGCTTGAAAGTCTGGACCAGAGCGTTCTGCAGCCCATTCGTGGCTGGGTGATAAGGGGCTCCTGTTAAATGAGTGATGCCTCGTTCGCGACACCAAGCCTGGAACTCCTCCGACATGAACGTAGTGGCATTGTCGGTCACAATCGTGTGTGGATATCCGAAGTGAGCGAAGTCTTGTTCCAGTAGGTCAATGGTTGCCTTCGTCGATGTAGAGCTTGTCGCGTGTATACAGGGGTATTTAGAGTAGGCATCGATCAGGACCAGCCAGTTGCTTCCTAGGAAATTTATGGCATGGTCCAGGTGTATTCTACTCCAGGGTTTCTCTGGCAGCATCCACGGATGATTGGCCGGCTTTGCTGGTTTATTCTGGTGTTCTGCGCAGGCAGTGCAGTTGTAACACAGCTCTGGCAATGTCAGTGCAATCCTAGGCCAATATACCGTGTGCGTGCGAGCTGCTTCATCCGCTGTATCCCGAAGTGTCCCAAATGCAGCAATTGAAGCACTTGCTGATGCAGACTCTCAGGGATGACTACTCTGGAACCATATAGCAGACACCATGGGGCTGTCGACAGTGAATCCGCCAGCTTCCTGAAGTCTCTGACTGAATAGCATCATTGCTCTCCACATTCGACCGTGAATCCTCGGGTGGCCATCCCTCACGGGTATGACGCATCACCGTTGCAATCACAGGATCCTTGCCTGATTGCTTTCCCACAACACCAGGGTCCGTTGGCTGTAGCTGTAGGCTCACCGTTTTAATAGTGCAGACAGTGCCAACATCTGCCTCACTTTCCTCCCCATCAAAGATGACGTCAGGTCCCACTGGCAGGCGACTGAGCGCATCGGCGTTCCCGTGGTCCGACGTCTTTCTATATTCTATTGTGTAGTCGTACTGGCTAAGCATCAAAGCCCAGCGAGCCAAACGATTGGCCGCCAGCATTGGCGTTTCCTTGGTTGGCCCGAACAGCGCTAGCAACGGCTTATGGTCTGTAACCAAAACAAAATTTCGACCGTATAGAAACTGGTGAAATTTTTTTAGCGCAAAAATGACAGCTAGTGCTTCCTTCTGAACTTGGCTATAGCGGCGCTGTGTATCTGTCAGCGTCTTGGATACGTTAGCAATTGGGCGCTCACTGCCGTCACGATAGCGGTGAAACAACACTGCTCCAATGCCAACTTCTGATGCATCGCATGACACCCCAATCGCAGGGATGGGTCAAAATGCGCCAGCACTGAATCGCGTGCAAAGCCACCTGTTTCAGCTGCTGAGTCGTTGTTCACTACTGCCCCAGTTCATGGTATGTCCTTCTTGTCAGTCGATAGAGAGGCTCGGTGAGAGTGCTAATGTGGGAGAAACTTGCCATAGAACTGCACAGACCCCAAGAATGAACGCAGGCCGGAAACGTTTTCCGGTGGCGCATCTTGATAACCGCGTCTTGACCTTAGCCCCTTCTCAATCCCTTTTTGGAAAGCTTGTGGCCTCAGGTACTCACTACGGGTTGAGCGAATGAGCACTTCTCCATGCGACATCGTAGCCTTTCTCTTCTAAGCGTTGAAGCAATGCGCGTAGATTTGGGAGATGCTCTGAGCATTGGCACCGCTGACGAGAAAGTCGTCAGGTAGACTGCCACTCCCTGTAGATCACTGGTGAGCTGTTCCATGATCTCTTGAAATAACCTGGTGCCGAACTGATCCGAACGGCAGCCGAAGTTGAAGCAGTACGCCTCGGTTGTACTGAGGGCTAGCCTTTTCTGGCTTTCAGGAGCGAGCTTTATCTGGTTGTAGCATCCGCCAGGTCGAGTTTAGTGAAACCGTGTCCTCCACCCAGTTTCCTCATGAGATCCTCGGGGAGAGCATAGGGTCGTGGGGTATCTAATTGTGGGTTTACCGTAACAGAGTAATCCCCACAGACTCGTAGCTTCGGTTTCTGCTCGCCAGGTGGCCCACCTTCCTGATCGAACGACGGGTGTGCCACTATCATTGAATTGTGCGGGCTTCCACACACCCCTCCTGATGCCGGCATCATATGCTTGTGTCAGATCCTCTTGAATTGCGTACGGGACTGGCCGTGGCCTGCAGAATACGGGCCTCGCATCCCGCTTGAACTTGATCTCTAATTCAAAGTCCTTCAAGCATCCGAGCTCCCGTTTGAATACCTCCGGATGCTCATCACAAACCTGCTGGCAGGCTGTCTGTAACGACCGATCTGGATGCAGATCGTTCGATATGGTATGCACGGTACCATCGGGTAAAGAGCGGCGATGAAAAAAAACATTAATGTCTATTCCCATTTCATGTATGGCGCTACGACCTAACAGGTTGAGCGCTGGGAACTCGTCACCGTGAACTCTATGTTCCGCGCTTCGAGTTTCTTGGTGGTCCAGCTTGCATTCGCTGTAAACGCCCAATGGACCGTCAGCTGATTTCCTGTAGCTCCCTTTGTATGGCTTGTTGGCTGCTGTAGGCATGGCTTCCCCAGCTT